ATTTGATGAGAATTTTACTTTTTTTTTTTATTAAAGCTTCTATGATTGAAATTTAGCATACACAAAAAATACAAACATGAACTTGAGATTAATATTTTATTTATTATTTTCTTTATTTTAAAAGCTAAAATAATTATACTATTTTAAAATATGTAAAAGGATAATTTATAATAATAGTATAATACCATATTATTGCAGAATATACTATATCATTTAATTATTATTTTTTAAATGATCTTTTGATCAGAATTTTACTTTTTTATTATTACTGAAGCTTCTATGGTTGAAATTTTGCATTCACGAAAAATACAAACATGAATTTGAGATTAATATCTTATTTATTATTTTCCTCATTTTTAAAGTTAAAATAATTATACTATTACAAAATATTTGAAAAGATAATTTATAATAATAGTATAATCTTAAGATTACTTTAATTATTCATTATTTTTATATTTATCTTGACATTTTCATTCATGAAAATAATGACTTATTCATTATTTTTCTTCTTTTGAGTAAAGTCAAAAGGATTATACTGTGTTATAGAAAATACAATTTTTCTGAAAAATATCTAATAATAGGATATTTATGTTCATGTTGAAAAATTTTTATCTGCTGAAGAGGCAAATTTTTTTAATACTGAGGCTGGTTGAATTTTTATATGTGTGATGATTGTCCTCTTTTATTAATTTTACTATGGTCAATCTTTACCTAATATTTGCTTGAAGCAATATTTTTAGATTTGTGCTTTCAACAGTTCTATAAAATAAGGAGCAATAGAAAAGCCTGTTTGATAATTTAAAAAGTTCTATTTTTTGAATAATTCTAATTCGCTCAGAATGCCTGATGTTGTGATATTTAAAACAGTAGCAAAGATAGAAAATGAACGATACAATTTAGTAAAATATTTGAATTTAACGGGAAAAAAATATAACAAACCTGGTCACATTTTTCATAGTAAAATTAAACTATTTAAAAATGTTTAATACTTTATAGATAATGTAAAAAGTTTTCATGTCAAACTACTACTCTACAACAAATTATATTGCCCAAATTTCAAAATAATATTTTTTCTAGATCAATAGTATGATTACCTTGTTTTGAATTAAATTCTTAAAAACATTTTTAAAAAAAAGAAACAGAACTAACATTGCTTAATATTGAATTTTTAAGGAAAAATTCTAAATATTCTTACTTAAAGCTTGTTGAAATAACAAGTTCACACTTAGACTAAAGCTTTTACTTATCATCCCTAAAATAATTCAAAATCTACATACAAAATTTCAAAGAATTCGATACTAAACTTTTTTTTGTGAGTTAGCGTATGTGAGTTAGCGTAAACAAATTTTCCCAACCGAAAATGCAAGAAAATTCTGACATCAAGAAGAATTAATAATTCAAAAATTAATTTCTGAAAATAAATTTTATTTATCTTAAAAATATAGTTTATTCAAATAAGTAAGGGTTAAAATGCTCAAAACGAAACAAAAAAATATTTTTGTTTCGTTTTCGGAAGTAAACTTCCGGTTTTGGTTTCGTCTGTCAGCATAAAGAAAAAATACTAACTTTATTTCTAAAATATGGAGATTTAAATTTCAAAGAGTTTTGGAAAGATAATGAACTAGAGTTCAAATATGGGTAATAAAAAAAATCTAAATTTTCGCCAAAATTGCCCATTTTCACTCAGTCAGATTCATTGAGCTTTTTTATCTATTTTTTTTCACAATTTTTGTACAATTGAGGCAGCAGAAAACTCGGAGTTATAATGTTTTGCAAACTTCTTAATGATGGTAGTCAACAACTTGTCGGCACTACTCTTAAAAGAATTAATTTTTTTCGGCCCACTCTATTTCACGGGATTTAATTGTAAATCAGACATGAACGGAGTAAAGAAAAATTAAATTGACGTTATTTTATTATTGAATTTGTAATGGACAATTAATACTTTAAAAATACAACTTCCAATTAAAACAGCCGTCATTTCCAAACTTTAAATTTTGAGTGAAAATCGTCGTTTTTTTTTTTTTTTTTTTTTTTTTTTTTTTTTTTTTTTTTTTTTTTTNCAGTAGCTAAGTTTGCTAGTGCTAAAAAATACTAGTAGTTAAACCAGGATTCATACTGGTATATACATTTTATGATGCAAAAAATGCATTATCATTATTGTGTAACATAATTCCTCAAAGAATGGTTAATATTAAATATATATGCTCGTATGAAAGTTTTACATATCTTTGTTTCATTAAATCAAAATTATGCGCTTCTGACATTTTAATGAAAGTCATTTATAAATTTTCGTTTTAGATATTAAATTTTTGTTTCATTATTGATGCAGTTTTGGCTAAAATAACTATTATATTACAAGTAATAAAATTATAAATTATTTTAGTGCAGAGAGGTACAGTTCTTGAAAACATTGTAGCAGTCTTAAAATTTGCATTTTTAGACTCTAAACATTTTAACAAGAAATTTGTATAAGGAAACTTTTACTATTTAAAAAGTAACGCAAAATTCAAAATAAATAATAATACGATGGTGAAAAGTCATTGTTATATGGAAAATACTATTACCAAGCTCTAATAATTTCGTACGTGTTGCTAAAGATGTGTGAGGTTTCATACTATGGTGGTGTAACACAATTCCCTTGTGATTTGCGATCCCCCATATAGTTCCAGCCTTGCACTATAGGAATATCATTTATTTTGAAGTTCCCAAAAATTTTCAGTCATAACTATGAGTTAATATCGCACTTTGTTAAATTTTTTACTGATGAGGACCAGAAGTTATCTGAACACGAGATCAAGAAGTTACCAGAAAAATGGCAAAAGAGCACCGAACAGAATGGAAGATATTTGACTGATTAAAGTTAATTTTTTGTATATAAAAAATAAAGTTTCATTTCACTTTAAAAAACCGAAATTACTTTCTTGCCATCCCAGTAATTTGAAAACCTAATTTGTATAGTTTATCATATTTGAGATGGTTTTAAGTATAAAAGGAGGTAATTTCAAAACTATGTATTGTATATACATTCTGGAATATTTCGTGAATAAATTTTTTTTTCTGAATAACAAAAACTAAATTGAATAATAGAAAACTGCTACTATATAAATGTTTTAAAGGGAGTATGGTTGGTTAACCGTATAAAGCTAAGTGAAGGTTAAAATTTGTAGTAAAACTCCCTAGTTTTACTTATTTTTAGCTTAAAAAAACAAATCTTCCTTTATTATTATCATACTTGTATTGTTTGTAATGACTCTTTACAACACGATTTTTAACTTCAGTTTAAACTTCAAAAAAAAAAAAAAAAAAAAAAACCGGAAAGATGACAACTTTATTTATGTCTTGATTTTAATACCCTTAAATCGTTTTATGACCTTTTCGAATTTATAAAATACATAAGAATCTTATGAATAATAAAATTATGTATAAATTTAAATACTAATCTCAATAATGTAACTGCCTAGAGTAATAAACCTGTCGTCCCCTGAACATAGCATCAATGGGGGAATGCGTCAAGAATCCGGATTCAGTAATTGTTCTACACTTACGTACCTATCCATAAAAGAAATTGACCATCTATGTCTAATATTAGTTCACTCCTTAATTGAAAAAGTCTACTATGCTTCATGTATACTATATTAGAAGAAAATGTATGATAAATATTTGAATTACTTATACGCAGAAGTAAATGTTTCATCATTTTGTTCTATATAGCACGCATCTTCAAAATAAAAATAAAGTATTGAATGTTATTTCAGGAAACATATTCTATAAATATTTAAGTTATACTATTATATAATTAACTATATCGCTTGTAGTAAAAAAGATTAACTCTTTTTACGCATTTTTTTAATCATATATCAGTCTAAGATTGCAAAAATTAGTCACAAAGAATCTTAATAAGTTACATAAGACTAAAATTGTTTTACTCGATAGAGTTAATAACTGTCATGCTTTAAAAAATGACATTTTCTTTCCAGAACCACATTTAATATATACTTAGCAAACTTCTACAAAGTTGGTAGTGGCTTCTTGGTCAAACTTAACGGCGATACTATACACCAACAGTCTGTCAGAATAAATGACGAATCAAGTATATACCCGGCTGAGCTGACCGCCATCTACCTGGCTGTTTCTTCGGCAATTGAGGCAGATATACAAGAGTTAGTACTTTTTTCGGACTCCAAATCCTCATTGCAGGCCCTAGAGAATCCCACACCAAGGGACATTATAGTCGAAAACATTAAAGGTATTATTCAACACAGGAATTACCGGTTCAACTGGATCAAGGCTCACTCGGGGGAAGCTGGAAATGAGGAAGCGGATGCTCTAGCAAAAGCGGGCACTCTGCTCAGTGGGGTAGATTTTTACTACTCTATTGCAAGACCACAGCTTAATTATAAACTACGGCAGGTCAGCAGAGATTTATGGCAAGAAAGGTGAGACCGTTCATCAAACGAGAGACATACCAACAAGTTTTTTCCAAAAGTCAGCGATAAACTTTTAAATTGTGACTTTTACATAAACCAATTCTATACCGCCCACGGAGAGTTCGGAGAACACCAATCAAGATTTTTTCAGAAATCATCTAGCGGCAAAAGCCAAACGGTTCCACAACTAATTGCAGAATGTCCTGAATTCTCGACACTCCGGGGGAATCATATTAACATCAGAGAACCAATCGAAAAGTGGTGCAGAACAAAACAACAGCAACAAATCATTAGAGAAATTATTAAAAGCACACTAGAAGATACCATTACAATGGACGATCCGATGGACCCTATACACTTAGGTTGACTTGATGTCTCCCCATAATACCTGAACTGCCAATCCACTTCTATTTTAACGCGTCATTCCCCTTTTATATTTTTCACACTTGAGCATCCTGGGGGATTCCGTTGGTCTTCTGTTCTATCACCTCAACACTAATTTTAATTCATTTTGATGTTTTTACTCACTTGTATATTCGCTTTTAGTGTTTTTATCAACAAAAATAGACGGGAAAGGAAAAGGGAAGGAAAAAAGTAATTTTTTTTTCTTTTTTTTTTTTATTGTATTCATATCTTTAATTGTCTTGTTTTATTTTAGATGTTTATATCTTGTAACTACTCATTATGTATTGTAACACATACTGTATTCTCTATAACTTTGTTGGAGTCTTCAATACTATTGTAATTTGGCTCATTATAAGGGTGGGCAGTCGGCTTTAAGCACTATATGGCGGCCCTCCCAGCTGTTGGCATATGACTCTTGTATTTTATGTATTTTATGCACTTTTTGCTTTTTACGTTCTTTTCTGTTTTTACTTGGTTTTAATAAACATTTACCCGTATGCCCTGAATTGGGGCAGGTCGGGGTAAATATTTTCATATACTTAGCAAAAATGCGTATCTATATCAAAAATAAAAATTAAAAATATTTTACTCAGTAGCATTAATAACTTTTATGTTTTAAAAGATGACATTATTTTCATGCAAAGGCAACCCTTAATATATACTTCAAGTATTATGAAAAAGTGAAAACAATAATTAACCTTCTGAAGTCGGTAATGTAACAAATTTCCGGTATATCTTACTCGTATGTTATGTTTAGGAGGAATTTGTGAACAGGTATAAGATTTTTTCCAAGTTTCATATATTTTATCTGGTCGTGAAACATGAATTGGTCTTAATAACAAAACAAAAAACTAGAAAAAAACGCAAAATGAATGAGGTACTATTTTTATATAAGCTTAGTTTATTTTTTATGGCATTTCATACTTAATATTAGCAAGGGCCTTAAAAAGAATAACCCCTCAAAAAAAATCTAAATCTTGAAATTTGGAAATAAGGGCATAAACTATAAGTGAAATTGAATAGAAAAAATTATTCATTATTATCTTTTGTCACTATCATTATTATCGTTATCATTTGTCACTATTATCATCATTATTATCATTTGTCACTATCATTATTATCTTCTGTCAATATGGCTCCTGCTTCCTATGGCATCCATTTTGTAACTGAAAACTGTTTAAAAAAATGCTCTTATTCTAGGTTATCAAATTATTAAGAGTGAAAATGAATGGATTTTAATGAGATACCTTTGACAAATGAATTTCTATGCTTTTAATTACTCGCTAAATGAACATTATTTAACTTGTTCTTGCAGGCATGTTGAAAGTACAATTTTTACTTCTGTTTCTCCTCGCCTCTTGCCTAGCCAGCGAAAATATAAAAGATCCTTCGAAGGATTCATCCCAGCATTCTGATCACATCCATGAACACGATAATCATGAGCACGATAGCCATGAACACGATGACCATGATCATCATCATGACAAAGAACAAACCAACAATACTCAAACGGATATGAAAACAATTGAAACGGACATGAAAACAACTGAAACGGACATCAAAACAACTGAAAAGAAAGAAGAGGAAGTAGTTACAGAGCCAAATGTTGACATTCCTCATGTACAGAAAAGTCGTCAATTCCAACCTTTGTATCAACCATTTTTTCCTCAACCGTCCGGCGGCTTCAATATGATTCGTCGTCAATTCGGTGGTGGCATGGATCTACTGGGTGATATTGTTATGATGGGTATGATTGGCTTACCAATCTTAGGATTGCTTACAGTTGGATCATCATCCATCGCTAATTTCTTAGGATTTGGTTCCAAACCTTCCTCGAAAAGAAGCAGACGGTCGCTTAAAGAAAAAGCTGCTGGTGCTGTAGAATATGCTAAGAATTTATGGGGTGTTATGGAAAAATTGGAAAGAGCGTTTGAGAAATATGATCTTTATCAGGCTGAATGCAGACTTCTTGCCGTGTGTGAAGTTCATCAAAAGAATTCAAGACTAGGAGCTTGGGGACAAACAATCTTTGACTTAATGAGGTAAAATATCTAATGTCTATTTAACTAAAGAAATCTCTTCGTCAGTAGTCCAAAGTCGGTGATTATGGTTACGAGATTAAAGTACACTGGTGTAAGAAATTAAGAGAATTTATTGACTTGGTCGATTATCTCAAGAACTACTGGACCGATTTTAATGAAATTTGATATGTACATACATTAATACAATACAAAACAAATAGTCACTCAACAATTCGTTTTGTATTGTATCAATGTGTGTACATATCAAATTTCATTAAAATCGGTCATGTAGTTCTTGAGATAATTGACCAAGTCTGCAAATTCTCTTAATTTCTTACACCAGTGAATTTCAAGTATTGATAATTTTTGACCAGATTTAACTAGAGTTCTTTTTAGAAATTTTTTTGTTTATTTTAAGTCAGACAATATTACATCATGACTTTTTCAGGCATTTGACGCAATCAGGTTCTGCCAAATTTTCAAAAGAACCCACTTAAACAAACTTGAAAAAACTTCAAGAGAACACATCTTAAAACATATTTTATCAAATTATGCACGCTTCATTTAAAATTAATTAGTAATAAAAGCTTATTTCGTTTCCGATAAAAATTTTTGTAACAATTGTCAAAAATTATTACAATACTTCTAGTAATAACAAATGATTATTTTTTTTTGATTAAAATCAACTTTGAGTAAGTAATAAGGAGGGCCAAAAAAGTCGAAATATCTAAACTATTTCAGTACTTAGACTGGAATATAATCAACTACCATCAATAAAAAGCATGCAAAACCTTGTCATTCTTAATTGATATCTTCTGCCTCCGCAATAGAGAAAAAGTTGTGAAAATGTGATTAACTAACAGTATAAATTAAACAGAATCACTGATTTCGTTAATCAGTTTATGGTGACGCTTAAAAGTTACCTTTTCTGAACTACAATCTATACACAAAATTTAAGAATTATTAGTTAATATTTTTTAACCCCTTAAGGTCACTACATTTTGACAGTTAATATTGGATATTAAACGCGCATTTTGAAATTAATTTATTTTACCCTTACATCACTTTAATGAAATAATTTAATCACGAAATTTTGTTGCTGTTTAAGTAATAAAATATATTAATTTACAATTATAAACATTTCTACATTTATTGACATTAAGAAATGGTAAGTATTTTTAGTTTTCAAAATTTTTGGCATATTAGGCGGTAGAAGGCATTAAATTGAAAAGATCTTACCCACTCCTTAATGACAGCAGTTGTATTGAATTAATAGTAATTATATTAGTTGATCATTTTTGTACTATTGCCTTGCTCAAATTATGCAGCAGTCAGAGTCAAATCATGTGTTTCTTACATAAAATAGCGATATAGTAATGTTAATAAGTCTGTTATATAAGTATGTTAATAGTTTTCCTTATTAACATACTTATATGTTAACATATAAGTTTGTTATGTATGTATATGTACATATATGTATGGTAAACTGCTTACATACTTATATGTAATAAGTATGTTAATAGTTTTACCCTCCCATAACAAATTAAACCTCTGGGGGTAATGAATTGGAGATTGATCGTTCGTTGGTTCAGGTCAAAATTACGATCTGTGGATGAATGAATAGCTGCATGAATGGGTACACTTTAATAGCGGGTGTGACGTATGGGTGTGGCAGAAGACGAATTCTTGGCCATAGATGGCGCCACTTAAAAACAAGAGCAGTCACAGCCCTTGAGCTTAATGGCCTATGAAAACAACATTAGTTTTCCCTTATGGTCAATTCACAAAGCTTAACTCTTAATACTTATTTCGGTGACATTTCATTCAGTGAAACACAGAAAAAATAGTTTTACGTCGATCAACGTATGAAGAATTGCATTCAATAACACTCTTAGCCGAATTTGACTTATTTCAGTGGTCAACATTTGAAATAGATCGGTTGGCAGATTATAAAGGTTTTGCTCTCCTTTCGATTCTTGGTAAAACAGGTAAACGTAGGTGGTCGACTTGGCAGGTTTCACTGTAAGAGCAAAAAGAAAAAAAAGAAAAGAAAAAAGGATGCAAGCCATTGGCTCTCGAGAAATTTAAACCTTTCGGAAAAAAAGGTATATTTTTCATAACGGTGACTTATTACGTAATTTTGGTTGTTGTTATTGTCTTCCCTAACTACTTTTTGAAGAAAGTTTCTGCTAGTCCGGATATTTGGAGTGTCGCTAATTCTATAAGTTTAATAACGTTCTAAAAATAAATTAATTTCAAGATTACTCATATTAAAAAATTTTTAAAAAATTACTCTATTTTTTTAAAATATATTTTGGGTTTATATATGGTTTTCAGAGATTTTTAATAGTATTTATGTTACATAATCATTTTTTAAAAAAAAATTCCACTAATACAAAATATTCTTACATTTTATTTAAAAAAATTGCAACTGTAAATTTTTTCAAAAAGTTACATCCTGGTACAATGTATTCATAGTTAATAAAAATTGCTAACATTGGACTCCCAAATCATCTAAAAGAGATACTATTGATAGTTTATCCCGGTACAATGTATTCATTGTTTACAAAAATTGGTAATATTGGATTCCCACGATATCTCAAAGAAATACTTTTAATAGTTTAGCCAAGAGAATGCTTTGTTTTTTTTCCATTTCGTTATCATCTAGTTTAATTATTAAGAAATTGAATTTTATGTATAAAAGCTTTACAATGTCCTAAACTTTATAATTTTAAATGACAAAATGTAAAATTGAAATAAAAATAGATTAGTGATTTGCGATTTATACAAATTTTAAAAAGTCTTAAATTTGAGTTATTATTATTCAGAGACCATTCCACATATTACTTGATTGTTTAAAACTTCATTCACTTTAAAAATATACGAACTGGAAATAACAGTCGACATGTTCCAAGCACTCAAAAATAGCCACCCATTTTCAAGACTTGCCAGACGTGAATGAGAAGAAACAAAAGTGACTGCTATTTCCAATTTTTATATTTTTGAAGCGAATGAAGTTTTTAATCTAGTAATATCTTACTGCTTCAGTTTCTTGGGATTATTCAGTATTCCCTGTAATGTTTAAATTTTAAATTTCTAATTTAAAATTGCGTAGTTTAAGAACATAAAAAACTTTAGTCTCTTATAATTAAAGTTCATAGCCCCAATTAATAAGTTATGTAATAAAAAATATTAATTATTAAAAATTATTTTTCGAATAAAACTTACTTTTTTTTCAAGTTAATGATTTTTTTTTTGCGCAAATAAATAGTAACGCAATAATAGCAATGACATAGCAAAATAAGTTTTTAAAAAATTGCAAAAATTTCAAGGTAACATTTAGAATGGGAACTGGGTGTAAAACACCATGTTTTTTTTAATGGAATTTCATTTTAAAGTAGAGTATAAAATATTGATCTAAGAAAAAAATTTGTATAAATATTTGTAACATAATTATGTAATTAATAATTAAATCACATGTAGTAGAAAGATTCCTCATATTCGTCATAGTAGAAAGATTCCTCATATTCCTACCTCATATTCGTCTAAGATTATAAAAATTAGTCATAAAGAATAATTACAAGTAGCATAAGTCAAACTATTTTATTCAATAGCATTAATAACTTTCATGTTTTAGAAAATTTCTTATCAAATGTCACCTTTAATATATACTTTTCAAACTCTTAGCAAAAATGTATATCCTCATCAAAAATGAAGATTAAAAGTATTTTACTCAATAGCACTAAAAACTTTAATATTTTTAAAAGATTATTTTATTTCGTGCAAAAGCCATCTTTAATATATAATTTTTTTATTCTTTTCAAAAATGCCATTATAATTCATGTTTCATACAGTTAGCTTTTATTGTGTTAAGTTGAAAAGATGTGAAAAAATTGTTTGAAAATTGAAAAGATTGTTTTAAGTTGAAAAATTGAATTGTTTGAAAATATTCTTTACGTTGAAAAGATGTGAAAAATTAATTATTGAGAAAAAATTATTTAAAGTTGTATAGAAGCATACATTAATAAAATAAATATGAGATTAAGATCTACATATTCCTCTCGAGCAATTGAAACATATTTACGTATTCTCTGAAATAAAACACTTATTTGTATTAATATTGCAATCCTTCAGCTGCATTTCATTATTTTTAACAATCGTTTCATCACGAAATCCGACGATTTTTGACAAAACTTTCAAATATTTAACGGAAGTGCATCGAAGTAAATTCTGAGAATTCGCTAACATTTTTTTAACTCTATATTAACACTTGCCATTTGCTCTGTATGACGGGAAGGTATAGGGGTTAGTGTCCTCGCTTATTGGGTCCTGGTAAGGACTAAAATCTTTCTCTCATTCTCCTTGATATTACGAACTAAATTCATTTTTTTTCCCTTCCATTGTCCATCCAATTGATCCTCGTCATTCAGGTATCAGTAGGGCAGATTTGTTGACCACTCTTTCCCGGGATTTATAATAGGTGGGCCAAAGTTCCTCCCACAGTAAGGATTGATAGTACAAAGAACACCCATGCCTTGACCGGGATTCAAACCCAGGACCTTTCTGATGTGAGATAAGCCCCCTGACCACCACACAACCGGTCGGCACTAAACTCAATGCTTTTGACGAAATTTATGTCCTTAAACAAATGAGTAAAGTACTTCACTTAATTAGACGAAGAGTTCGCGTTTTCCAGGAAACGCTCCGACAAAAACGAAAGATAATTTTCAATAATTTTGTGTATCCATTTCTGCGATGTGAATTACCTAATGAAATGAATTTCATTTTTTAGAAGGCAAAAGGAATTGGAAAAAGAAGAAATTCTACCAGTTTCAAGGTTTATTTTCTCAAATTATGCTGATGCAGCTGATGTAGGAAGCAAAGGAGGCAATTGCCGACAATTATTTAATGAATGTCCATCATTTTTTCATGTCAGTGACAAAGAAAATGAAGTCGAATGAAAAACAATCCTTTTCAACCTCATCCTTTATTTATTAATTCATTTCCATTGCATCCAATTTATTTTATGAAATAAATAAAAAGTTTTATGTTTGTGAATTTGCTGCTTGCTTCATTCAGAATTGGAGAGTTATTTTAACTAGAGCCGGATCAAAAAACTGCCTGAAAAACACCAACCTATACACAGTAAAAAAATTCAGTGTTTCTTAATACCAAGAATGATAACTACTTTAAACCAAAGTTGTACAAAACAGTTTCCGGCATAATGAAATATCAAGAACGTTTTTTACATTACGCTGTGTAACTCGGTAAATCTTTGACCAGTATTTGGTGCAAAGTTTCTCATTATCCCAAAGATTAGTTAAATTAAAGATCATTTTATTTAAGTTACACCATAATTTGCGAAGCGTGATAGATATATACTTTTACGGTGCAACTGACTGCACTAAAATTTGGTAAAAGACGCAAAACTTTAACGGTGACTGTAAACTAAACTAAACGTTCTTGTTTACGACGCCATGTTTTCTTTATCATTCGGTCTCGGTGTACCGGGACGACTAATGTATGTTGGTTCCTACTTATTTAGGTAGGTAAGTGGCTTATTTGCATTAATTAAAGTTAATTCATTTTATGTTGCCTATTTAAATATTTTTTCGGTATAAAATGGTTAGGTCCTAAAATAACCTACTTACGGTAAATAGCAACCATGGCCATCATTTGAGCTCTTTAAAAATACCTAATAATGGTGCAATCTTTCTATGCTTTTATAAAAGAAAGAATAAAAATAGGTGTTTTGTTTCTGCAAAACACTTACTTTTGGTGTGTGCAACTTTCTACTGATATTTGGAGCTGGTAAAAATACAAAAATATGGTAAAATTCAGCTCCATTTTATGTAACCAGCAAATGAGTACTAATTTTTGGTTGCAACGTGGCTAGGAATTTTCAACAGTGTAGTTTCCACTATTTTTGTTACAGAAATATTTATAACTATAACAAAATAAGATACACAAAGTTATTTTTAGGAGACAGTAAAATGTAAGAACTTAGGATGCATAGATATACTAATCCTTGAAATAAAATTACTTTTGTAAATCAAACATATATGTTGAGCAAAGAAAATATCAAGACTAATTCGAACTACGCTTAACAGAATCGAAGTGGATATTTTAAATTAAGAGTTTTAAATTTGTTTACACCCTTTAAATTGAATATAAAATCTCGATTTGCTGTTAACTAAAAAAAAATATATTCCTTTGCACAATTTTTTGAATTGTTCAAAATCAAATTCGGAGACACCAAAGCTTTTACAACGTACTGAGCCCACTGATTCAGCCCGATTAGTATGCACCGGTAACTAATTTACGATCCAACGGCCTTTAACGACTTGATTTTTTTTGTTTGTTTTTTTTGAAATTTTTCCTCTTGACTATAGTTGGTCCCAATTATAATACAAGCATTTATTTCTTTTAAAATTTGTTACCTAAGCTAAATTGCTAAACAGTGTCATAAAAGTGGAAAATCACGCAACGGTGTCTTCCTTTTAGTCTTGATGTCTTTTATACACTGTAAAAAAATTCAGTGTACCTAACGCCAAGTATGGTGGTAACTAATTTATATTAAAAGTGCACCAGAGATAATTCTTGGTGCAATAAGATCAGTTCTTATTACATCAAGAATTATTATAAATGTAGTTGCCATAGTTTTTAGTGCTCAATAACACTTTAACACTAAAGTTTATAATAATAATAAGATAAAATGCTCATAAGAATCAGTAAAGTTATTTAAACGATACAATTAAAAATAAGAACAGTTAATTTAACTTGCATGCACACTAATTTTTAAAATAAAATTAGTTTGTATATCAGATGTACGCATAACAAAGATATTTGTGCGAATTCAAATTAGGCTTAACAGATCAGAATCAGATAGAAATTAAATGCTATAAAATTATTTAATACAATTGACAGATATTTAAAAATTAAAGTATAATTATCCTTATTGCTGAACTAAAGACTTGCATACGTTCTGTAACGCTGATGTTTTGCTTCTGTCGATGTATAGCATCGTGCAAGAGAACAACCAATTCAAGGCATCTCGTACTTAAATATAAAAAATCTACCATCAACATCCAAAGTAATGCCAAAATCAGCGTTTTTAAACGCAAAAATAATTCACAAATAGAGTGAATAGGTTGGTTTTTGTGAAAGCATTCTGCATGAATGGTGTTTTAATGTAACTTCATAAAGAATACTTGAATATTGAAATTAATGAAAAGGACAAACAAGGCAAATAATGGATCTTCTGAGCTTTAAATGACGGCATCATCAAAATTTATCTCGGCGCCTGACGCCCTTTTCCCTTCCATCTTGAAATTTTATCTTTAAGGTGGCTCTTTCTGGTAATTGGAATGCAAATTGGAGTGAAAAGAAAACGAAATATTTTGTATTTTCGTTAAAGTTGCGTGGCTACAAAAATAAGCTGGCATTGACCTGAGGTTTACGTCTTCTCTCAAGTTTTCAAAAGTAAAAATTTCATTATATCCTGCGGTGTCACAATTTATGGTCTTTACAAAAAATTTGCAATTTAGCTTTGCAATATGATAATCTAAAAAATCCATTAAATGACGGCAGAAAATGTCTCTCTGAAATATATGCAGCTCAGAAGATTTAAACTCGTCAAAGCAATAATATATTTGTTTTTAAAAAAATCAATAAATTAAATTTTATAAATTTTTTTTAGTTATTTTTAAATATTACTTAAAAAGAAATTTTGATTTTTAGAATTTTTGCAAGACATTTTTAAAGTATATTTGTTCGTAAAACAAAATCGTCGATACTGAAATTCAAGCAACTTACCCAAAAGGTTGCTTAAGTCGAACTTCTTATCCTTCTTATAAATTTTTCCTAGCAATTAAAATCTCCGACCAACGATGATAAATCGAATTATGTTTTCACATCGACAATTGCTTTGTAAAGGCATACAAATAGAAAATCGTAACATATTTTTTTCCTGAGAATGCTGTACCAAATGTTATCCAATGTTGGGGCTCAGGAAGTTAAACACACTGTATCTGAACACCAAAATTGGTGCCAATTACTCAACACCAAAGTGGTGTTTCAAGAAGTGTTTCGCTACATCAAAACCAAGGATAGTTCCTGGTGTAGTGAAACTAGGGCAGGAGACTGTAGGACATTATCCACTCCTGACAATTATATCACTAAAGTGCAGAGCCTACCTCTTCATTTAACCCCAAAATATGGCATCAGAAAGTTTTAAAGAGGCAGTAACAAACATAAACAAATTCATTTAACCAATTTAAACATTTTAATCTAAACCCAATTCTAAAAGCAAAATACATTAATTCCAGGAAATCAGTACAGCGGGATATCCACAAACAAGAAGAGAGAAAATAAGGCAGTTCGTGTAATACTTAAACATCAGTCAACGTATCTCACAAGCATGTGCACATTCTCAGGAATCTGATGTACTGATTCCATCCAAAGGAAACTAAGACGTAAAAAGTTTATCAGTTTCGGTCCAGAGATGTTATTCCATCCAATCAACCAATTGGATGAGCAATGAGGTTCGAGTCTCTACAAGTACTTAGAACGTTCTTTTACACTACTTGGTGTAAAGTAGCCGCCACCATATTTGTTATCAGCAAAACTAAAATTTACAATTGCAGTAAGATATGACACACATAAAAATTAGCAAGGTTACTTATACGATAAAATTTATAGCAAGAATCATAAATTTAGGATGTATGTATATAATATCTCTTAAAATAAAATTACCGAAGTCAATCATCACTGACTTCGGTCAGTGTCAGGGTGACCTCTTTGATGACCGGTGATTGAACTGCGGGTGTGTGGTATTGGTGATCGTTAAACTGTTTTATCGTAAAGTACTCGACTTCATGCGTAGGTCGTCGGGATACCGAAACGGAGATGTCTATCCCCGCTGCAGATGATCAAAATTGTGATAGCATGTCTTCAGATTATTCTCGGGGATGCTCCCTGACTAACGCCACTAACCCATTGTGCAGCTCTAGTACAACGTAAATAAATTATAAATACAATTTAAAATAAAATTAATCTGTTAATCAAACATAAACACAGCACAGACAGAGTATTAACATGAATTCGAATATAACCGAAGTGAATGGAAGTTGAATATTATATAATTAATTTGTACAAATAGCAGATTTATGTAAATCCTATGTGTTCGATACCAATTGATTTGATTTCTATGCTGGTTCGTTTGATAACAAATGATTAAAATAGATATGGACTGTAACTAAGATTTTATTCTGATTGGTGCTACGAGCACGCTATTGCTATAAGATCAACAACTAATTTTCAACTGCTTGGGGTTACAAGAAACGGTGGCGAGGATGCCAAGACAAAGATGCCAAGTTGGCGCTATATTTCTAAGATATTGAACACTATGAGAACATAATTATCTTTATTATATAACTAAAAACATACATGTCTTTTATAACAGTTTATATGAGTTATTTACCAGATGAATCTGAGATGAAGATTGAAATTAACCGGCAAATAATCGAGCCCAATTGTTATACTTAACTGTTTGACGCAGAATTTTTATTAAACATTACAACAATGAACAATGAGTCGAACGAAATCAATGACACAAAAAGATTAATATTACAAATAATCGACCACAATTAATGTTTTTTATCAATCAGTAAAAAGAATCGAAACTTACTTGGCTGTGACCAGTTTGTCAATGAAATTCGACAAGAAGCGCTCATATTTCACCAGTACACTTCATCTTAACAAACCACCATTTTGGCCGCCATATTATCAATATATATTTTTTGAAATTGCATAATTATTCTCCTTTAAACTTCTAATAATGATCCAAAAGCATTTGTTATACGTTTGAAACATACCAAGTCATCATTTCACACAAGAATTTAGTTAAATAGTTTAAATATATGCTAATTACTCGACAAATTTACAAAGCTTCGAAAAACACTACCATCGTCACCAACGTGCTGCAGATTGATGTTCATAGAAATCTGGGAAAATATTCATGCTAATATTCTTCGGGTTTTAATAAATGGTACGCAACATTATATATTTTAAGTGACATATAAACATGACGGATATATTAGCTATAATCAAAAGTGGCTTCCTTTCGATGAAATAATTTTTTCCTTATTTATTCCTATCCAGGAGAAACAGGAATTGTCTTTCTTAATACAGTGCAACCTCCAGGAAAAACCACCTCTATGTAGTGAATTTCTCCACCCCTTTTGGGAGGCACTATAGATTTTGTGTTGAGGAAAACCTTTAGAAGAGACCATTAAATCCTCTCTCAGCACCAAATGCGGAAAAGGTCAAATAGGGAAAACGAAAAATATCAAAACAAAAATATTAACAAAGCAAATAATTAGATTAAACTGTATTCAAAATATTTATGTGTGGCTCTTACTTATAGAGCTCTTTTTGACGAGTGAAACAGATCTACAACTTTATATTGCAGTCAGATTGATTGCACTTAAAACGATGCCATCAATGATTTTTTTTTCGAGTAGAAAGTTAAATTAGAATTAAAAATTAAATTAGTTAAATTAAAATATTTCGTAAAAAGCTAAGCATCTCAAACAAACAAACCTCTTCTTATTTTTAAAGCTAACTAATAATTAAATGTAAACTTAAACAAAAGACATGATTTATTTAAAATAGTTCTATCATTCATAATTGGTAAATTTGTCACATAATTATAGCAGTAGCGATCATTTTTATTGAAGATCCGGTTTTCATGTCGCCAACACAAATGGCATTTCCAAACCAAGAAAATTACACTGACTAAAATTAAAACCGGTTGTGAAAAATCATGTTCCTTCAATAACATTTTGAAGGCAACTTCCATCAACGACCATTTTAGTGTGGAACAGAGAGTGGTCGCTCCCGAGAGGTTTCACGGAATATATATTTTGATTATCATTGGTTATCCTTGTGTTCAGTTATGGCAAGGAATCAAGGTGGTTTCATTTAGTTGGGATACATTGTATAAACAATAGAAACATCAAACTTAATAACAACTCTAAAATTTTTTAAAAAATATTAAGAAACGAAAAAAATATTTTATTTTTTCATAAAATACAATAATTAAATATTCATGAAAACAAGGGCTACAATTTAAAGCATAAATATCCGCGTAAGAATTTTGAGTGACTAAGTTTTTATGTCATGAATGATACAACAATAAGTTTGAATAAAATAAGGGTAAAAATACAATTACGCAACCTAAAACTTTTATACTCGCAATATATACAGAAATATAAATTTTAAGTTACCTAGTTAAAACATTTATAACTTTTACTTAGCTAAGTCAAATCTTAAGTAAATAAAAAAAATTTAAAAAATCTTAACAAACTTTCTTGTATTTATAGGCTTTAATCGTTCATGACTCATCATAAATTGAAAACATTGAAAGATTTTTTCAATAAAAAATAATGGAATTTCCAATTCTACTATTCAGCGGATTAATTAAGTCCGTTAACACATCTGATGGGGCTAGGATAACCTGTTTGGTAAGGCGCTGGACCCACGCTCGTGAGGACGGGAGTTTGAATCCATCCGGCCGAAGACTCTCCTAGTAGTAAATGATGACTGGTGTACTTTAAATCACTAAGTCCTATGTTCCCATAACAAATTATACCTCTGGTGGTACTGTATTGGAAATTGATCGTTCTCTGGTTCAGGTCAAAATTACGATCTGTGGATGAATGGATGGGTTCGCCCTGTAAACGGGTGTGGCCATAGATGGCTCCACTATAAAACAGCCCCGTGGCCTTCGACAACAACACATCTGACAAACGCATTGCACTTATAGCCTCCATCTGCTGACAACGGAGCTATTCAAGAAAAAGGTTGTCTTCTCTAGGAGGTGTTCCGCTCAATCCAGGCTCGAATCGGTTGGTCGATTCTGCTGCCAACTGGTACTGGCGTAAATTATCCTCGGTGGTAAACGGAACACGGGTTAGAATCTGCTTGTTATCGCCCTGGGACATTTTTGTAGTGCAACGCAAATGCCGGTTAGTTCTATTAAAAAGTCCTCCACGAAGACTATTTCGTTCCGATGCTTAATACAGGAGTTCCCTTGTCCTCTGGGTTGGGTTCAAAAGACAATACTACAAAATTCAACATTGATATTCGCAAATCTGTTCAACGCCGATTGTAAAATAAAATAAAATCGAGGGTTGCCAACCTTTTCAGGAAGTCTATCCCAAAACTTCCTAAGGGATTTTTAAGCAAAGAGCCATGTATAAGTCTGAAAATGAAGCATAAGTATAAACTTCGATTTTACTGTTAATAAACATTTTAAAAGATTCATTTAGTTACATATAAAATTAAAATGAAGCAATTAATTCTAAACTATTAATTAATGATTTGAGTTTGTACTTAATTAAGGCGCATATTAATCTTAAACGATATTTTGATTTTATCACTCTCATAATACAAAATCAATTTTTACCATATTATTCTCCTCCTATGACCACGCTCTGCTACCTCATCCTTGTACAATCAGAGCCACTTTCAGCGTAGTGACTAAGTTTTTATGTCATATTTTTTCATTATTATTACTTTAAAACATTTTTCAATAAGCACCACTGAAAAAAAAGAAAAAGACCCGTGAGTTTGGTTTTGGTGATCTATATTATCAATATGACAACTAAAAAGTGCAGTTGATGGCCGTGTTTGCTCTTTGACGTATGTGCACGTTATTCGTAGCTGACATAATTTTAAGTTGAGTCGCGGTGGCTCAGGGGATTGCGCGTTCATTGAGGTACCCCAGGTACGAATCCCGCTTATTGCGAATTCTGCTTGCATCGACCTCCATGCTGACGTAAACTGATATGCGTAAAAGATAAAGCTTAAATGAATTGGCGTTCTTAAGTTCATTTCAAAAACTACTGTACCATTCTATTTTGCTAACGACTTCTGAAAATCAAGTTTTTAAAAAAATTAATTTTATTAACCTCTATTTCATTTTTTTTTCTATTAAAAAAATTAAATAATCGAACAAAGCAAGTGTTCATTACCGTAAAAATACCTCGAATAATAATATACGAATCCAGATCAATATTCAAACATAATTTATTCATTTACAATCACTTTGATGTTTGTATACATAGATAGAATGTAACGATTTTTATGCAAAATCTTAAAATTTAAATATATTATACTTTTTATAAATATCACAGCATTCATTAAAAAAATAAAAAAATATTCTCTCAAAAGTATGATAGATAGTATGTTTTTCTTACTAAAAAGTGCATTCAGTTCAAACTTATTTTTAATTTATAGTAATTTAAAATAAAAATTATGTTAGCATATGCCTCAATGTTTACAATTTTGAAATTTGGAATCAACTGAAAATAATTTTCAATATTTTAATGAGACTAAATTTCTTGACATACTCTTCCTCATCTAAATTAAAATTTACAATACTATAACTAAATTACTTTTTTACAAACATAACTTACTACTTGATAAAAAAAAATTTAAATTTCACTCAGTTTAGAAAAAAAAATTACTGTCATTTTCTTACAAATTAGTAAATGGTGGTGAGTATTTGAAAAAAAGTAATATTTTTATTATATATTCATTATTATATTCATTATTATATATTCATTATTATAGATTCTCTGGTGCTATTACTTTAACTACATCACATTTTTCAGTTGATAACCCTTTGTGTAAAAAACTCAACGAGATTTAAAATGATTACATACAAATAAAACTTTGCAGTCTTTTCACAAAGTAATTGTTTTGCCAAACATGGGTTCCTTCATTCTCAAAATTTGAAACTATACACATTCCTTGTTTGTAAGCTGTTCTTGAATCTAGTACTTATGAAGTTTCGAAAAACTGTTTATAACCTTCTAGAATTCTGGTATTTTCGGTAGAATAAATACTTTTATCAATAGGTTTGGCACTTGCTATAACAATATTTTTTCCTAAGCCTTTTTCTTGACTAAAAGCATTGAAGTTGTTGGTACCTGTGTGCTAATGAAAGAAGATTATAAATTATGTAATTTATGCTAATAAAATGTATAAGAATTGAAATAACATAAAATTTGAATCCTTACTTTTTTTAAAGCCTCCTTTCAACCACAAAAATCCTGGAAAGGAAGGTTCTGATATTTAAAATATTATTATTATTACTATTTTATTTATTTATTTATTTATTTTTGCAGATAAAATGTGCCTAAGCACCTAAGTAGAATTTGTTGAATTTGTAGAATTGTGAATTGAATTTTACGCAGGGCGACCCAGCAAGCAAATTGCAGAAGGAACTGTCAACTGTTAAAATATTAAATGAACATCATAACCACTTAGATAGATCAAAGAGTTTGTGTTGAGTCTAAGAGGGCGGGATATGGCAGCTGATAAACACATAAGCAGTATTCATTTGGATGGTATTAAGACTCCACTTGTACTGTTTATGAGGATTATCTTTTTTACTAAAATTTTTTTTTTCATAGAAGCAGTTATATTTCAGATTAAAAAAATTACTAACATAGTTGAAAAAAAAAACTTTTCAAAAAAATTATTATTTAAAAAAAAAAAAAACTGTAAATATTATAAAGAATATATATGACCTTTTTCATGATCAATAAAAACATTCGAATTCATGTTCATGTTAACTACCCCCCCCCTCACAAAATACTAATGTGGGCTAAAGTAATATACATAAATCTGCAAAAAAAAAAGATTGCATACAGGGGCGCCGGCAAGGAGGTGCAAGAGGGTGCACTTGCACCCCCTGTCTTTTTTTTAAACAATTAAAGAGATACAGAAAAATAATTTTGTTATAAAAAAACTTTTTAAAAAATATTTTTATTCAAAAACAAATAATTAAGTAATTATTGATACATAACAATTAAAAAATTGTTTAATCAAACAAGAATTGTAATCCTCTTGTTTGCTGTCCAAATCTGTTTATAACTTTTTTCTACAAAAGTTACTTTTTTCTACAAAAAATAACCGAATGCAGTCAATTTGTAAAATCTATTCATAAGTCGAACACTCGAAAGTAATTTTTTATCTAAACTGTCAAAAAAAGATTTTTTTCTTGAGCAGATAGCTAAGCTATATTTTTAAATTTCATTTAATAAAATATAAATAATATTATATTTTCTTTTAGTTATTAGTTTAACAAAGATGTATAACACAAACTGACTTCTCAGAACTGTAGAACTTCATCAGCACAATAAATACCAATGTTAAGCGTGCACAAACACGTTAGTATACGAAATTACTGTTTACAGTTATTTGTCTTTCAAAGTCAGTAGCTATGCCAGCGCCATCAATACAGTTTCTCGTGGCAAAATTTGCAAGTACAAGAAAGTCGTACTTTTTTTTAAATATCTTGTTAACAATGAAGAAATATATCTTGAAAAAAATTAACCGATGAAAGTATATGTAATAGCAAAACAAAATGTAATAACAGAATATTTTTAATTTTTTTNGGGGGGGGGGTAGTTTGTTTGACGGTTGCACCCCCTTTTATATTATTCTGCCGGCGCCCTTGATTGCATAGTAAAATAATTATCGAAAGCAAAGTATTTATGAGCTTCTAAGTATTTTTATTTATTTAGATTTAATAAAAAAAAATATTTATTAACTTTTTAAGTCTGATATTTTGTTTCATTTAAAATTTGCTCCCCTCAGTTAAAGATTAACAAGAATTTTTTTTTATTTTTTAAATCATAATAAGAAATCAGCTTATTTCTAAATGCTATAAAAAATCCTATTCTTGCCGGTACTTTTTTCAAAATTTCAGTAAGATTCTTGGCGACTACAAAAAATTAGCGCTTTGTTTTCTTTAGCACCAATATTAGCCACTTCCTTTCCTACCTTGTGCACCCAACCAACTTAAAAAAAAACCCAGTTTCCATGACAACGGCTTGAGGTGAAATGGAGCGTAATTCGATTTGAAAATTTTACTACAAAAGCATTTAAGAATGCATTGACAAACATTCGAGTAATTATGTGACATTACAAACGAAAATGAGCAATATAGAATATGAAAATCAGATATTGATAAAAAGTTTTAATCCTAACAGAAAGTACTTATTATTTTTATTTTTTTTTGTTCAGTAGAATGCAATTAAAACACGAACCTAGAAAATTTTCACAGGCAGAAATTTTGGCGGAAAGCTATGCTGCTTACAACTGCCGTATTTACCGTTTATTTGTCACTGATGTTGCATTATCTGTGCGCATAAAATAGATGTATCTCCTTATTTATTGAAAAAGAGCTAATATAGATTTTAAAATATTTAATTATTCATACAACGAATACGGTTTCCCAGAAAAAATTTGAAACTAACTCTTTCAGAACACAAAACAAAATTTTTAAAGATGATATGAAAGAAATGAACTGTACTTATTGCAAATAAATAAGAAAAGTTTACTTACCTGCAAAAGAAATAGACAATTTCAAAGACAACTTGCATGAGATGATAGCTGGCTTCGACAACAAAATCCGCCATTAGTCAACAGTTACAAGATAAGTTATCGGTCACAGTTAAAGTTTGTGCCTCTCACAGTACGAAAGTTTGGTGCAATCGATTGCGCCATGAATATATTTCTCGATCATATTTACCGATTTATGTTTCAACTTAAATAAAACAGTTTCTTATTTAACCAATTTATGGTGCAATTAGAAACTTTTCACCAAGTATGGGCATATATGGCAGTACTTCTACTTTCGTTACTTGTACCGCTGGTACAAGTAAATAGTACGTACTTTTACTTGCACTTCGCTACTTTTTAAATTTCGTACTTTTACTTGTACTTTCGTTACTTTTTTAGGAAAAAAGTACAAGTATTTGTAACGGAAATGTCGAATGAAATCGTTACTTTTTTCTAAAACTCGGTAAGCTTTCTAAAAAAAAAAATTATTAAAAAAAATGCTTATGTTTTTTTAATTTATAAAATTNAATGTCGAATGAAATCGTTACTTTTTTCTAAAACTCGGTAAGCTTTCTAAAAAAAAAAAATTATTAAAAAAATGCTTATGTTTTTTAATTTATAAAATTAATGTGCAATATATATGCATTGACAGCTAACTTCGTGTTTAAATACCTTGACCTTTTAAAATTGTCATTCCTGAGAGGGAAAAGACGGCTCTTTTGATCTTTTTTTGACTGCAACTATCATTGTGAGTGGAGTGTTCGCCAGAATTGTGTGTCCAGAACAGTCATTATTCATCTTCTGAAAATTGCCTGGGATAAAGGATGACACGAATAGCAAAGGTTTTGAATACCAGTGGTTTTCATCTCAAGAAAAAGTTTCAGAATGGTAAAAAGTGCGCTTTGAAATTCTGTAAACTAAGTATAATGAATGTATACAATTTTAAGAAAAATAATTCATCCAACCTTCAAATGTGTGAAGGCTTTAATTATTCTGACATCTGTGAACCGGCTATTTTAACACCTGAATCTAACTTGACACACATGAATCCTTATCTTTGTGACAATCTGAATGTGAATGATTGTTACACCACATGCTTCTACAAACACTAAAACGTCCTTTTTTGTTAAATTTTGAAGTTTCAAGCCAAAATGTTTGATGAAATTCTAAGAAATAATCTTCAATAGTACTGTTAAGTTTCGGGGGGTTGGAATGAACAAATGTCCATATGAATACTGTTATCACTGCATGGGATGAAAATATTTTTTTTTTTTTTTGAAGGGGACAGACTTTTTTTCCTCTTGGAAAATAGTTTTGTTTAAATAACAAATGAACTGTATCTTTGATGTCTTATTGACACAAAGATACTTAGATTTATTTTGGTTTTTGCTACTCCTCCAAAAAGTAACCATAAAGAAGAAAAGAAAAAAACGTTGTTTCTCTTTTTATTCGCGGTGACCTGAACTAATGTGCATAGATTGAAATTTTTTATTTATCAAACTTTGCTTTAAGAAGACTTCATCTTTTTTGAAAAAAGTAAGTAATATTTTAATATCTAATTATTTTCTATTTATAAAATAAAATTTTATATTTATTTGAAACATTTTTCATTCATTTAAATATGTTAATTAAAAATTTTGTTAACAATGTGTGCGCATTGGACGCTTTTTTAAATAATTTAAATAACTAATTTCATATTACTATTGCAAAAAATTTTGGCACAAGTTTTACATTTTTTAACGTTAAAGTATTAAATTATAAAAACAATGCTTTATTTAATGGAAATGTAGTATGCATTAAAAAAAACCTAAAATATTATAATTTTTTTAATTTTGCAGCAAAATATTTTTTTTTGAATTATATTAAACGTAACATATATGCTATTACGTAAACGTATTAGTTATTCATATCATAAAATTTTAAAATAAAACTTTTGTTCATAATTTTTGATTATGAGTGGATATAGTATTACACATCGTTATTACAAATCCAAAAATTGCCATTATGAAATATTTTAAAGTAAAAAAATTTTATATTTAAAAACAAAATATAATTTGTAGTTTATTGGATTTATAGGGTATTCCTGCATATGAATGCATTTTTTTTTAAATTTATTTTCTAGCATAAGTTATAATGTTTATCAAATTTGTCGAACAAGGTAATTGAATTATATTTGATTTTAAAATCATATTATACGATTATATTATAAATTTATATTATAGTATTTTTCCGAATTTAAAAATAAATTAATGTCCATAACTTTCAAAATTAAAAATAATTAAATAAATAACAACAATTTTGCAAGAACACTAAGGAACATAAGAATATTATTCAATAAAATTTTAGGTTACTTTGAATTTTCGATTTCCTAGAAATGTACTTTTAAATCGTTACTTTTTTTGTTTAATAGTTGTACTTTTACTTGTACTTTTTACTCGTTACTTTTTTAAAATAAGAACTTCTAACTTTTTACTCCTTACTTTTTTCAAAAATACTTGTATTTTTACTCGTTACTTTTTGAAAGTAAAGTTGCCATATATGAGTATGGGTTAAACATTTACCGAGTTTTTTTTACAGTGTATTACATTTTTAGGTTCTATAGGTCCCGCAGTGAACTGATCGTAAAGACACGATTTCCAGTAGAACACCGAAGTCAAGCATCACTGGCTGCGGTCAGTACGCTGGTGGGTAACCACTTTGATCAGCCTGCGTAGAGACCGAGGATGCGCGGTATCAGTTCTCGTGAAGCTGTTCTACCGCAAAGTGCTCAACTTTGAGCGCAGGTCGTCTGGCTACCAAAGCAAGAGAGCCATCTCTTATGAAAAAAAATCGCGGTATAAACGAGGTATATTTTAAAGGTATGAAGGTGGTTGTTATTTAAATACGTCGTTAGATAGAAAAGGGTGCAAATGAATATCTCAAAATCAACCTCAAACATACCTTAAATATACCTCCAGAGGCACATATGTCTCAACCTCAGGTATCTAATTTTATACTTGTAGAGCTATACAACCTGTGGTGTGTCGTTTTACACTTCAGGTTATCATAAATCAACCTCAGGTCAATTTTGTTCTATCTCAGGTAATTATTTTTCAACCTCAGGTTTCTAATTTTAAGCTTGTAGAGGTAGATATTTTTCAACCTAAGGTGTGCCATTATACACTTCTGGTTGTTAAAAATCAACCTGAAGTGTATTTTCAACACTTGGAAAGGTTATTTTTTATTAACGTGATGTGTTCCATGTTCTACCTTAAGTTATTATTTTGTAACCTTAAGTATATATTTTTGTATTTTTAGAAGTATTAATTTATCAACCAAAGATGCGACATTTTACACTTCAGGTTTATGTAGCTCATCCTAAAGCTGTTTTTTTTTAGTACTTACGAAGGTGAGATATTATACGGACCACCTAGTGTATTAATTTTTAACGTCACTATATCAAAAATATAATATATATAAATATATTATATACATAAAGATATTATATATATTATATGAAGAATAATGTATATCATTACATTTTTCCACTAGTAGAGATCTTCATTTATCAACCTGAAGTTTTTAATATTGAACCTTCGGCAGTAATTGCTTCTATTGTTAAGCTATAAGAGAAAGTTTCAAATGCATAATTCTTCTGTAATTTTTATAAATTGAGTTAAATCATCTTGAAATAATACTTATCCAAATTCTACAGTTAGTAAAAACTATGTATGGGAACTCATATTTTTAGAAGACAGTTGTCTAAGGTGCTTGAATTTTTAAAGCTATAAAACTACAAATTTAAATAATTAATCAGCTGAACCTAGAAGAAAAAAAAATCATATTTACATTAATAGTGGCAGGTTTTAAAATATTAAAATATTAGAAATTGTTTTTTTTTATCATTTAAATTAACTGTATGAAATTAATTTTCTTTTTCAGATAAATAGTATTACTCATCTGCCATTTCTATTCAATTCTCGTAGCTAAAAAGCATGACAGGTTCCACAGCCACAAAATAAAACACACTGAAGAAAGTACTAACATTAAAACACACTGAATATAGTACAACATTTACAGAAATTCAAATATATAATTCCAATCTTATTATGCAATTTTAACACTTTTTATTTTCCTATGCATCAGGTATCATTATGGTACTTGTAAGTTTGATAATTAGATTTTCTTTCTTTTTTCCAACAAATCTTTAAACTCAATAAACCTTGTCTATATTTTCAAACTTTTTGTCAAACTTCATGAAAATAGTTTTTTTATAAATTTTTGACTCTGATTCTGAAAATGACTTCCGTTATTGTCATTCACATCAGAGTTTCTTAAAAAATAGTTATTTTAATATTTTTAATCAGTGTAATCAAGAATAAACAATCGTTTAATAAATTAAAATTTTAAAGTTATGTACCAATTTTTATGCATTTTTTACATTCAATCGAATAGAACAAATTACAAGCTGATAAGAAGCATTTATTTTAAAGTTGTGAGTAGTGAGGAAAATATCTATGAGGAAATGTGAGGAAAATGTCTAAGAGAGAATGATTTGAAATAATACTTTTAAAATAAGTGGAGTATAATATCTCCTATATAACTTATAATACCGAGCAGAAGAAAACTAATAGTTAGTTGTTACAAACATTTGTTTAAATATAAAAACACATTCCATAGGATGAAATTCAAAAAACTTCATATTGCTTTCAACAATAAATGCTTTTATTTGCTATTGATTACTGCATAAGAAACTATACTGACTTATTTCTAAAAAATTTAATATTTCCGAAATTCGTTAATTTTTGATGTAGTGAATCATAAACAGCTGCATAAAAATTCTCATAAACTTGAAACAAATTGTCATATAAACTTGAAATCGGGTTTAATTTAATTCTGCTCAATTTTCTAATAAGTAATAACCATAGAGTAATAAATAGGAGGAGACGGCATGCCCGTTAACTCGTGAAGCCTTAACCGCAACCGCGGCGCCATATTGGTACAATCAAAACAAATCGAACTTCGTTGAACTAGAACTGTACGTGTTTAAACATTCTTCAAACTGAGTGATAGATTTTATTTTAGTCTATTATTGAAAATTATATTAAATCAAATAGAAATTTAAATAATGCAGTCTGAAAAGATCAATTTTTCAAATATAGTTGCATGCTTTATATATTAATAAACAGGTTATAATTATTAATTCNTAACGAAATCCATAATGATTGAAAATATTTTTCCCATTTTATTTTGCGTAACCTAAAAACAAAATTAAAAGCAAGAATTGCGTTTGATATTTCAAAAAACTATTTCAAAATTGCGTTCAAACAATTCAAGTAAAAAGTCGCTAGTAATATATATATATTTCTGACAGA